TAATAAGTCATCATTTATAGATGGCGGGATCTCCTCTGACCAAACTCTGTACACTCAGTGGAACCAACTGACGTGAGTCTTCTGTTAACCCCTCTGTAGGTTGGGGCTCTTGTGTCCTGGTCGGAAAACCTTCCTCAACAATTCTTATTGCTATTCCCAGAGCTCAGCTGAGTTTTTCACAGTGTGATAAACGCAGCCCATCAAAAGCACATTAACGTTGTCTTTCCGAGCCTCCTCTTGTTTCTTTCTCAACCTGTGAGTGAAAATCAGGAATTGCCTTGGCCAGCATTTTGCTTTTCTCAGTGTGGTCTTCAGACTACCTGTGTCAGCATATACTGAAGTGCTTTCAAAATGCAGCTTGATTAAGGCCCCATCCCCAAACGGATGCCTCTGACCCCTTGGGGTTAGGGCATTGGAATCTGAAATGTAATAAGTTGCCAGGTAATTCTTACATACCTTAACACCTCAGAATCACCCAAGTGATTCTTTCAAGTGTCCTCGCTATAAAAATACTAACTTCGATAGCAGGCTTTCAGTGAATTTAACATCCCACTTTGGTCTCAGAAATTCTGCACTCCAGGCATCCAAATAGTAGACCAAATCTTCAAGGAAGGAAGGTTCTAAAATTGGCCTGTTTCCTCGGAGGCTTTGGGCCTGAGGATGCCTCAGACTTGCCTTCAGTGGGCAGTAATTCCTGCAATCAGAGACAAGCGTCGACTTAACTCACTTGTTTTAGGCTTACCACCTTTGCCTGTTTTTATTTCTAGAAATAATGCTATAATGGACACTCAATTTCATAAGGGAAACCATTCAGAAGAACAGCTCTGAAATCATTTTTCTTATCTCAAAGCCCCAAATTAACCTAAACATTCATTGTTTTATCCTCTTCTTCCATGAACTGTGTGTTTCCAGAATAATCTGGTTTATTAGAACTTTAACCCACACTTCAAAGCCGCCATCATATAAACACTAAGCTTGGTCAACAAGAATTTGCATTTTCTCAAAAAAAAAAAAAAAAGAATCTACTGTTGGTTTAGAGGAATACATTTCTGGAAGGTTTATCATGTGAGTAAGCCTCTGGCAGTCAAATTTAACCCATAAACAATAGTATCTGGAAGCAGGCTTTATTACTCTCATGCCTTAGGGAAAAAGCACATTCCATACTATATTCAGTGTTTCCTGCTTGTTTTCTCTTCAGTCAATTGCCCTTTGGGAACCTACTATTCTCTGGAGAATTCTGTCTGTGAAAGCTGCCTGGTGGGCTCCTATCAAGATGAAGAAGGGCAGCTTGAGTGCAAACCCTGTCCAACTGGAACTTACACTGAATATCTCCATTCAAGGAGTAGCTCGGAATGTAGAGGTAGGGGCTTCGTGCTCATTTTGACCAGAAGCCTACATTTTGTTTCCAGTTATAAAATCTCAATGGCAAATAGGATGAAATATGAGCATTACCAAAAGCAATTTCATTAATTGATTTTTTCTTTCTTTCTTTTCATTGCAAACTGTTACCTGAATGTTTCCCTCGCTTTAGAGAAGTCCATCTGTCTTTCCTTTCGCAACAGTCCGTTGCTCTAAGTCAGACTCCACTGTCAAGAACTCTAATCCACATTCATCAGTGAACCTGGGTGTTTTAGTGAATCTCACTTTAATTGGTGGAAAGGACTGTCATGGCTCTTAGCAAGCATTAGGCTGCTTTTTGTTAGAATAATATTTGATATGATGAGATTCACTCTACTTGGAAATGAATAACTACAGGCCCATATGCACCTATTCTTGCTACTAAAACATCCAGTCCTTTCAAAATATTGTTACTGTTATTCTCAATGAACATTCCTGATGGAAACATTTTCTTTCACATTTAAAGTTACAGTCAGACACACCTAAAAGAAGGAATTGCAAAATTGTTCCTCCTTTTGCCTATTGTTGCCAGTGCAGGTGTGGGTACTTCCTGACACGGAAACTTGAGAGTGTCGCTAGGTGATTGCAAATGCACTAAAAATGTTAGCAGCGCTGAAAATGAGAGTCATCCGGAGGAGAAGGGCAGAAGGAAAGGACAGTGCACCGGGAATTGGGGAATCTGGCCCTAAGCCCGCTCTACTACGAAACCATTGCTATGAGTTTGGGGAAGTTGCTTAATTAACCTCTCTGGGCCTGATGCTAAGAGTACTTTTACTTCCTCTCTGCCAACCCTCAAATGAAATGGTGTCTGTAGGCAGGAGGAGGTAAGAGGGCCAGTTCTTATTTAGAGTGAAAAAAGGTGCCAGCATAGTCATGAGACTCTAGCTGATTCGGGGGTTTTGTTTCAGTCACTCAAGAGAACAGTGTACAAGCTGAGAACTTGTACAGAAACAAGCTTCCCCGTGACAGCTTGATCTTATGAGAGTGCCTTTCTGAGGTGCAGATTTCTAACTTCACCCAAAAACTGTTTTGTCGACATTTTCTATGTGTCAAACACCATGCTAGGTCATAATACAAGTAACTGGAAATGAGCCTAAGACTTAGTATGCGGAAGTATGGGGAGTCTAAAATATGACATGTGTGCTTGGAGTTCTTCGTGACCCTCGTTCTATCCTAAATAAATTAAAATGTGGAAAATCCTGTTGTACACAGTGCTAATTTTATATAGCTGATGTCATCGTTATTAACCATGTTACATTTTTCGTTTTAGCTCAGTGTAAACAAGGCACCTACTCATCAAATGGGCTTGAGACCTGCGAATCTTGTCCACTGGGCAGCTATCAGCCAGCATTTGGTTCCCGGGGATGCCTCGTATGTCCAGAAAATACTTCAACAGTGAAGAGAGGAGCCGTGGACATTTCTGCTTGCGGAGGTTAAGTCTTAGACATCGCTTTTTTTTTTAAGCCTCCTAGGTTCTACGCATGGAGGAGTGGAATCTTTTTAGCAAAACCATATGTCTACTGCATGCAAAGAATGTAAATAACTGTCTCTTCATAGAGAGTTTCCTTCTATTCGGCCAGTCAATACTTAAGTGTAAACACCCATAATATAAACACCGTGCTGGTACCGTTAGGAACACACAAGAAGCACAAGACTTGGTCCCAGCCCTCAACATTTGTAACCATGTGGCCACATGATATGATAGAAATACATCTCAACTAGGAGCTTAGATTCCTCGGGTATAAAATGAGGTCTTATCTAACGTTCCTTGAAACTCTAAAAATACAACCTCTGAATTGTAACGTTCATTCCCTACAGTTTGAAGATCTTCATGAGTGATTATCCACTCTGGCTGCATACTAGAATCACTGCACATTTACATCAGTATTTTAAAAATACTGAAACCCAGTCTCTGCCCCCCCAGATATTCTGATTTAAGTTTTCTGGTTTTCTTCTGAAGTTCCCCCAGGTGATTCTAAAGTATGACTAATTTTGGTTCTCAAGTGTCACCATGGAGGGTTTGTTAAAACATAGATTGCTGGGCCCCAGCCCCAGAGTTTTTAATTCAGCAGGTCAGGTGTGGGGCCTGAGAATTTGCATTTCTAACTAGTTCTCAAGTGATGCTGATTCTGCTTGGTCCAGGGACCACACATTGAGAACCACTGGTTTAAATAGAAATACAAAGATTAGCGTTCTATTTTTCAAATAGTTCTAACATCCCTACCAAGTACAGTTTTCCAGCAGTGAAAAAACTGGAAGCCATAAACAGAAGTAAAAGATGAAAACTTAGAATGACAGTGAAACTAGGTCTGACAGTCAAGGTCAGCCTATTGCCAGAAACTCCCATAAACTGCAATGACCAAGTTCAGTGGAACTTTGCAAAAAATAAAAATTTGTTGGCCTCTCTCTGCTACATCACTGGGAACAGAACAAGCATGCCTGGCTAAAAGATGACTTTTTAAAAAAATGTGAGTCCTCCCCATTCTTTATACCCTTACTGAAAAACCTAAGGTCTATGGCAATCTGAAAGTTTAAACTCTTCCCTTACTGAGTGAGTGATGTTTTTAAGAAGCCAGTCTGATGGTTCCCCATTCCCTCAAGCTACACACACACACATCCCATCCTCATTGCACCCCAATCATATATACATCTGCGTCCAGTTAGAAGCTGAGAGTCCTAGAAAACAGATGCTTAGGGTGTTTGAGTGTGGTGGTAGGGAGGGGATGGGGCGTGTCCAGCAGTGCATCCTGGGCGTCGTAGTCCTCATAACTTAAGTGCTACAGGAAATACATACTGTGAGTCATAGGTTTTATATGCTCCATCGGTTTGACTCTCAGAATTTCACAGTAGATGAAAGCCTCTTAGACCTGTGGAATTGGGAGAGCAGTGTTCATCAACCTAATGTTTCACTGATGAGAAGAGAATTTAACTAGGACCTATTTGAAACTCAGGAACCATGTGTGTTGCGTAATACCAGCTGTGGATTTTTTTTTTTAATTAAAAGTCAAACAAAACCTCACATTATGGTTGAAAGAGATCTGCCAAAGACTCTATTATCTTGTCAGTATACAAGCTAACTATGGAAGAAAGTCTGCAGGAAAAAATCCTCTCTCTCTCTCTCTCTCTCTCTCTGTCTCCCTCTCTCCCTCCCTCCCTTTCTCCTTCCTTCCAACCACAAAAGCAACTAGGATTTTTACAGTGAAACAAGTTCATAGTTGACAAATTTTTATCCTTTAACTTTCCAAATAAGCCTTGAGGTTTTCTAATAGCAAATTTCTGCAATTAAGTAATTATAATTCCCAGGAAATCTCTAAACTTCTGGTAACTGTTCCATTTCTCCTGATATTTCTAGCATATGTTTAACCACAGTCTACTTGTCCTGAGTAGGAATTGGTAGTATTTGGTAATGACACTTTCCCCTGCGGTGCTGGATAAACACCATTTTACTTTTACTTTAAATTTAAATGTGTGTGAGTTCTAAAACAGTCCCTTATATATCTTCCTCAGTTTTCAGCCAACCCCTTTTCTGTCCCTCCCTCCCCCTCCCCTTCTTTCTTTCTCTCCTCCTCTTTGCTCTTTCTGTACTGAAATTTATGTTTTATGGGCATGTTGTACAGTTTATCTTATTTTTTGCAGACATATCACTTTTTGCCTCCTTTGGCCTTTTGAACTTAAAATATCATTGATAAATATAGCAGTTATCTTTAAGTATATTACTATGTTAGCATAATGTAACATTCTTTATACATTTCACCTATTGTCACTTATTAGGATATTAAATAGTCTTGAGTCCTTGGTTACAAAAGAGTCTGAAATTTTCCATTTTTTAAAAATGATTTTTATCAAAATAATTAATCCCACAAATGAGTTTTTGGTGTTGGTGTTGTCTACATATGGTCCCAGTAGAGGGAAAGATTATTTGTGGCACAGGATGATAACACTTCTTAGCCCAACCCTGTAGGATGAAGTTAAAAGGAGGCTCAGAATAAGAGGCTTTGACTTTTGGCTTTGTCATAGGAAACCAGTGGCTCCAAGGCTGTATTTATTCCTTTACACTATCAGGGGACAGACATGTGAGGTTACATTTTTCCCTGGTCATTTCAGTGCTTTATTTTTAATTCTATTTTGATATCACTTTTGGCATATTTGAATACTTTTTTTCTCTTTCTCTACAGTAAAAGAGGTGAGAAGAATTTTGTTCCATTTGTCTTGATTTAGAAACCACAGTTTCTCTGGCCAAGGTTCAAAATGAAACTTTCCCACATCTTTTCTTATGACATTAGTCCATTAGGAACTGTGTCATGTGTGTATGCATGTGTGTTTATTTAATACTGTACTGTGTACTAGATAGTGCTATTATTATGTATATGTGTATGTTTATACATTCATGTATTATATGTGTGTGTATGTATATGTGTGTGTGTATATATATATATATATATATATATGTACTGCATATATAAATTATATTAAATGCTGATTATTCACTCTTGGAAAGTATATTTGTGATGACGACTGTCTGCCCTTGGAATGTAATTTAAACTAATTTCCACAGGAAAGTTTATTTTACACTTTCTAGGTCAAAAAGCAAAGTACAGACATCACAACACCATGTTTGCTATTTTGAGATGCTAATTGGCTTATTGATTTTTAATCTTTAGATTTTATTATTATTATTATATCTTAGTATAATTTTTGACAATTATAGTATAATTATGTGCTACAACTGACAGTATAATTCTGTCAGTTTTTAGGGGCACAGTCTTTTTTCTTTTTAAGGGTAAGATTGTACTGAAAAAAGTTATATGGAAAAAAACTGTTGAATTCATTGTAGCATCTTGGGTTTAAGTGGCAGCATTTATATTTCTAGCATATGATGCACACTCATAGATATCCTCTCAAACAGAAAATTTATACCTTTTATCAGTGGAAGATTTATGCTTCCGATTAACTAATTAGCTATTTGGAAGGTACCTTTTCCAAAGAGACAATCATTTTTGGAAACTTGGGAATCAGAAAACCCATTTTAAACTCCTATAGGTTTATAATATGTTTGTGCAAAGCCCTGTCTACGTCTAGTAACAGAGTAGATTATTTTATTATTGGTGAAACTAAGATACTTGTAGTTTAATACTCTTCTTGAATATAGCAAATGTAGCCACCAGAAATTTTTTTTTCTAAATATGCATTAATATCTGTGTTATCTTCTGCCATCTCTTGATTCAGCTCTCTACTTTTTGTCAGTTGGGTACGTAAAAGAGCTCTTTTACAAGAGATTTGCCTGGATGTTTTTGCTTAAGAAATTTGATCGAAGAGTCTTGAGATTATGACAGATGTGTTGTCATCTACTTAATGTTTATTGTCATACCAATAAAAAAGAGATGCCATCACTTGGAGTATCATGCTCCCTTGAGCCTCAAGTGTATCTCTAAATTTTTCAACCATATTGGTAATTATTTCTGCTATACTAATTTTTGTTATCAAGAATCCAAAACCTAAATGATAAGTATGCTGATATCCTGAGTAGCTGTTTCCCTGTGTCCTATCTTCTATACTTAATTTTATGCAGACAAGTCTTAATAGTTTTAGTAGTTTTCTCAGTTTATAATGGTTTTAGGGCTCACCCAAATGACTCCAGTTCACACACTCCACCTGAATTTGTCTATGGATCATAGTCTAAAACCCCAACCCAAGGATTTAGTCATGGGTACTCTACCCCACTATCCCTCTGCCAAATGTAACCAAAATTTATGTTTGGGGCTATTATCTTATATTCCACCAAATCTTGGCAAGAGAATTTCCAGTTTGGTTAAAAGATAATATTCAACTGCATGTTGTTTACAAAAAGCATGTCTAACCCAAAATGACATAAAAAGTTTTAAAAATAAAAGACCCCCAATAAATAATAGACAACTCTACAGGGGAAATAAAAATTTCTGGTAAACGTAAAAAATGCAACTTCATTTATCATCAAAATGCAAATTAAAATAACAGCGTGATTCCATTTTTACCTTCAAGTAGGAAAAAATTAAATAATCATTTTGAATGCTGAGCATGCAGTGAGAAGGGCAATTTCATATGCTGCCAATGGGACTGTAAATTACATTATTTAAAGATTTGGGCATGACATATTTATGGCTTTAAATTGTCATATCTTTAGCTCTAACTACCCAACTACTCAAAGTCGTGTTATCCCAAGGAAATAATCAGAGCTATATTAAAAAATTTATATAGAAAATTTCATGTCAGCATTATTTATAATAACAAACTAGTAGAAACAACCTAAGTGTTCAATAGGAGAGGAAATGTGAGATCAGTTATGGTCTGCCAATGAGATGTAACATTTTTCATTTGTTAAACACCATGTTACTTAATGATTTGGGGAATGATTTGCTTATGATATAAAGTTAAGTGGAAAAATCATAACACAATATTATATGGCCAATTCTGATTTTTACTGAGTTGCTGTGTGTTTTCAAAGATGGGAAGGAAACAACAAAACATTTATCTAGGTGATAAAATGGTCTGGGTATTAAGTACGTGCAAGGGAAAATATTAGCAATGCGATAGCTTTCTTATAACCAAAGCTTAATGCACTTCTTTTAGAGGTAGGGTATACTACTATGAAGCACAAATGATTTGTTCTTACTTTTGCAGTGCCTTGTCCAGTAGGAGAGTTCTCTCGTTCTGGGTTAATGCCCTGTTATCCATGTCCTCGAGACTACTACCAACCCAATCCAGGGAAGTCCTTCTGCTTATCTTGTCCGTTTTATGGAACTACAACCATCACTGGTGCCAGATCCATCACAGATTGTTCCAGTAAGATGATATATTTCATTTCTCATGTAATCCTGTGTTGGAGACTTTTGTTTATCTCTGCGGTAGCTTCAATTCTGAATATTACTATTTTCAGTGCCTTTGGGTGTCTGGATGTGTTAAACTATCCTTTTGAAGGTCTTTTTGATGACAGTGACTCAAAGATTCTTATTTTGGGACTGTCGAACTTGATAAATTCCAAATTTCTGAAAGTCGAGAATTTAATGACATAATTCCATCCATCTCTATGCTCTCTTTATATTACTGAAACAAAATATATGTGGCTTTGCCCACTCTGAGAATCAGAATCTTGACTATGGTATTTAAATAGAGTCTGCTCCTAGAGAACAGACTTGTGGTTGCCAAGGGGGAGGGGCTTTTGAAGGAGGGGTGGAGTGGGAGGCTGGGGTTAACAGATGTAAGCTGTTATATATAGAATGGATAAACAAGGCCCTACTGTATAGCACAGGGAACTATATTCAGTATCCTATGATAAACCATAATGGAAAAGAATTTTTAAAAAGAACGTGTGGGGCTTCCCTGGTGGCTCAGTGGTTGAGAGTCCGCCTGCCGATGCAGGGGA